ACATTTTAAGCTGTCATATGGTCATGTTACAACGTGCCCCTCAGCTGTTACAATGTACCCCACCTATGGGGCATGTTATCACATTTCACTTCCAATTTTGAATTTTTTATGTAAATAAAGAAAAACGTATACACTGTAATTATGAAACAAAGCGACATATTTGTACTAGACAAGTGTGAGATAAAAAAAAAATTATACTCTGAACCCCATGTGGATTTACACAATTTGCGAAAGTCAAAAAGTGTTACTTTGTGCCCCGCTCTCCCCTATCATGCGCTACTCCCCAGTGCATTACTCTCCAGCCCACCCCACTGCAAACGCTGAATAACACCGTCCAACGAGATGAAATGAACATGACACGAGTGTTTATTCTCGACTTTTTTCCGCATGAAATCAAAATTGACTTTATTTACTTTACTAGCGCACATTGCTAGTCTTGATGTGAACAATTAATCCGCGCAAGTTAATCCACTGAAAAATCTAAATCTGAACATTTACTTCTGCTCTGGAATTGCATTCCTTCTCTGACGACGTTAGTTTGACGGCTTGGGCACAGATGCCTTGTCCAAATACCCACACTTGCGGACTTTGCACTTGACCACTTGACTATTTATATGACGTATTTGCTGTATTTGGCCCAAGTGTTCAAGTGAGGCTGAAGACCACAAATATGTGTCGAACTTTTCATTACCTGATGGGACACACTTGTAGTGTTGTAAAAATGCACGTGTTTACATAGCTTTATTTTAATTTTAATTATAAATAGTTTGCATTTTAAAATCAACTTCTAAATGTCTGTTCAGTAGTCCCTATAACATGACAATTTACATTTGTGGTGCTTCTAATTAAGTGATAAAAAGCAGTTGCAAATGTTGTACAAAATAAATATCACCACTTCTCATCTTTGCACCAATAAAATGTAAAAACACTGTTTTTCTACCAAATTATACGTAATATCTAATTATTATATTAATATTTAACTTGCATTGGAAAGGTTTCCGTGACCTCTCGCGAGATCTCGGCAAAAAGTCTCACGATTTATTTCCAGAACA